TTAGTACTTTCTTTTTTATAAGCTAAATTTTCAAAAATAAAATAATTATCAAACGAGACTTTAATTATTATGGGCGGAGATTTGAACCCACCAACTTTTAGTTAGATATATGCATTAACTAATTTGAGCCTAGCAAAAGTTTGCCAACAAAAAACCTCTTATTAGTTGTCAAATAATATAATATTGAGGTTTTTTGTTTCATTCATATTGTTTGGTATGCATAACCTCTCTCTTTGGAAATTATTAAGAATAATGCCAAATATTAATCACTGTTTTTTTTAAAGATTAATGATTACAACGAAATCTAATAAAATAACTACTTCTGGATTTCATAAAATGATTGACATAAGAAAATGGAAAATAAAAACGACCTATGATAATTTCTACGTAAATTAAAAACGTTTATCAGTATTTAATTTGTTTTCTAATTATTTGAAATTTATTGGTTTGTGCATGTTGGACTATGTTTGGTTTGGTTTGGTGTAAATGAATTTTGATAACAACATGTTTTGATTGAGAGACAAACTTTGTGTTAGGTACTGAAATTATTGATGGGATAATCAATCGACAAACTTGATGCTCAAATAATAAAAATATGACAGAATTAATTGGCTAGCTGACTTTATTCTTTTTAATTATAATTTTGTTCTATTTTTTTTTTTATTTTTATAATGTTTGAAAACAGTTTAAATCTTATTTTGATTCGTGAAAATTTTTACATTTGTCCTGTTTCGAGTCTTTAAAGGTTCATTTGGTAACATTTATATTTCTGGGTTCATCTCCTTTATTGTTGTTATTTATTGTTTCTTGTTTTCTTTTTTTGTTTCTTATTTTTTTAATAAATAAAAACATAATTGTATGGGATAATAATTTCTCGTTTATTGTTAAAAAAGACACTAAAGCATGTTTTGTAATCATTTCTTCTTTCTCTTTCGTTAAAATTTTAAATTGAAAAAAATTATAGAAAATACTAATTTTTTAATCACGTATTCAATTTTTTTTATCTTATATTTAATTTTTAATATTTACCAGTATTTTAAAATCAAATAAAAATAATATGTTTTGAAAAAAAAAAACTTAAAACTAGAATAAGAAAAAAAAAATTGATTTTGTTGTTTCCAAAATTCCAACACAATTTTGGAAAGGTTTTTTAACAATTATCAAATGCTTAGGTTTTTCAAAAAGGGTAAAAGACAAATAAAAAACAATAAATGCAAACAGTACTAGTCTCTTAACTTTTTCAAATGTTTTATTTTGGTCCGTGAATTTGCACGAAAAAGAAGAAAAATCTATTTAATTAGTCTCAAGTGACTTTCCATATTAATCATTTATAAAAGTAAAATTTAGTTTGAAACATTTGATATGCGTAACCAACTGCATATGTGACTTTAGACACATTTATTTTTACCAACTAGATGAGTGCACAAAAAACGTGTGCTTATATTATTTAAGTTAAATAATTTATGGAACAATTTAACTGTAGGGACTACCATAATATTTGAATCAGGTGCAAAAATAAAACGTTTGAAAGTTGGACCAAAATGGCCTGAAAAAAAAAATCCCGAAAATACTTTAGTGTAGAAAATACATTTCATTTAAAATATTGGGTTTTTTTTTTCTTTGAGATAATTTAATAATATTGAGTTACTCGTTAGGTTTATACTTTATATATAATTTGGAATTACGTAGCCTGATGAGTTTATGGAATTATGTATATATTTTATCCTAGGCTAGATAAATTATAGAAATCAAAATTTTTAAAACCACCTAATTTCGACTGCATAAAAAAAAAATCCACCTTTTGGGATATAACATTAAAATTAAATATATGCTACATGAATTTAAAATTTGCAATTATATTTAGATACGTAATTTAAACTTCCTACTTTTAGTACTTTAATACAAATCCCAACTTTACTAATTAAAAAAAATAAAAAATTGACCCAAACATCACTATGCTATGTGTCACGGTCGTACATTTTTTCAACCGTGCGGCGCCATGATCTAAGCTGGACCATGGCCAGCCTTACGAGGAACTCTAGCTCCAATCCACTTTTCACGCCCCTTTGTGGCTTCGTCGGACCTTAGGCGAGGTTCTTTCTTCCTCAACCGAGCTTCACTTCCAGCGGAATTCTCACTTGACTCGGCAATGCACGTCGCCCGTACGTGCATTTAAACTCTAACGCGACTCTAGCCGGCTTGCCTCTACACTAGGCCAAGTCCCACGGCTCTACCTTGCCTCTACTTTAGGCCAAGGTCTTCTGAACGCGAC